AGGGAATACCACATGGTAAAGGAATTGTAAATGGGAAAGCCAAGTGGACACAATCATTGCTATAGAGTAACAATGTTAAAAACAGAAAACTTTCATTGTCTCCCCAGGTTTGGACACATTGTGAGGAACCACATGAAGTCCAGGCAATTGCTTTTCTCCAGGGAACATTGTTACACTGGAAGTACAGGCATCAGAATCCACCCACACTACTACATGTATTGCTCTACCTTCAACACAAATCCACTGGTTATGTGCATGTTGACTTATGAGCCTAGTTGCCAGCCATAAATCACACCTGACAGCAAAAAATGCCTCAGCATCACTGGCAGAGATCTAGTTGTAATGAGGTCAGATTCTATCACGTCCTCCATCTCAGACACTACAGACACTTCTTGGGGAAAGACCAAGGCAGCACTGCTAATCTCTGCTGAGTCTGAGCACATGCCTCTCTACATGACCTTGCAAGTACCAATTGCTCCACTACCACTGGGATTTTCTTTAAAGAAAATGAAGAGAAGCTAAAGCAGATACCTTAAAAGCAACTGAGGCCAATAGGAAAAGGGGAACAGGAACTAGAGAAAAGGTTAGATCAAAAAGAATTAACCTAGAAAGTAACACACAAGCACAGGAAATTAATGTGAATAAACTCCCTGTATAGCTATCCTTATCTCAACCAGCAAAAACACTTGTTCCTTCCTATTATTGCTTATACTCTCTCTACAACAAAATTAGAAGTAAGGGCAAAATAGTTTCTGCTGGGAAAGGGAGGGGGCAAAGTGGGTGGTAAGGGAGAGGGTGGAGGCGGGGGGGGGGGGGAGAAATGACCCAAGCCTTGTTTGCACATATGAATAATAAAACAATAAAAAAATAAAGAAAGTGAGATCATTGTGACCATCACTAGAGGCATTCAAATTACTGGACTTCAATCAGTGTATTGATTGAGAACATACCAATCACTCCCAGTAGCCTAAGAATTTTAGTTTTTGCTACAAGAATCTATGTCACCATTTATGAACTATGAATGGATTGAGAACATGCTGAATCATGGTCCTTTGCAATTAGAATCATGGCTGCTGCTTCTACCATTCACATTCATTTCAGCAGTGTCTGTGATTGCCCATCTTGGACTGTCCAAATCCACTGTAAAAACACTACTACCTGCATGGACACGTGCAGTGTATAACATAGGGATATATATTCATTACAAACATTATAGCTATAGAAATCACAAAGAACCAAAGAAAAAGCAAGTACTCAACTCTAAACACAAATAACTGAGAACCAAAGATAAAGCAAGTAATCAACAGAAAACAATAACCTACATTTTTCTTTTTTTTAAGCCTTACTGGGGTTTTGAGTTCAGGACTAAACCTGAGCCACTCCACCAGCCCTTTTTTGTAAAGGGTTTTTAAAGATTGCGTCTTACCAACTATTTGCCAGACTAGCTTTGAACAACTAACCTCCTGACTTGTGCCTCCTGAGCAGCAAGGATTATAGTCATGACCCTCCTTCACCCAATTCACCCACATTTTTCAGAGGGAAAATTATTTCCCTGCAAAAGCTACTACATAAAATTGGAATAAGTGACTAGTAAAGAAAAATACAAATAACAATATAGAGACACAAGGAGCATGAAAAAGCAAGGACATTGGACAAATCCAAGGAGAAGAATAATTATTTAGAAACAAAACCAGTATCAATGAAATCTACAAAATGCCTGAAAAGAAATTCTAAGTAATGATCTTAAAGAAATTAATGTAATTACAAGAGAAAAATAAAAATACTATTTAGTGATATCAGAAAATCCATTGAAGATCAAAATGATAAAATGGAAAAAGCAATAGCCTATGCTTGTTTCTCTTTTCGTTATTCATCTTAGAAGTTTCATGCTTTACAAAATTAGCTATAGTTTAATTTTTCCCATATTTCATTTGCTTCCTTAGTCTTCTAGAAAGATTTATTTTTCCCATTGCCCTTGTGTAATGCTGAATAGTTTTCATGTTCTCCTTTAGTTGATGCTTATTGTGAAATGCGCTTTATTTCTTCCATTTTGAAGAATAACTTTGCTGATCATAGTAACATTAGGATTGTAGTTTTGCTTTCACAGATTTGTTTTAAGCTCACTGCAATGTCCTGCTGAACTTTGGAGTTTTAGCTGAGAAATCAGATGTTATCCCATTGGTTTAACATTACATGTGACATGGCACTTCTCTCTTGCAGCTTTAAATGTTCTTTTATTGTTTTGTATTCTTGGCAGTAAAACTACAATATGATAAGGATCTATATGGGCTCAAGGGTCTCCATCACCTGTATTTCAGTGTCTTTCCTTAGTTTAGGGAAAGCATTCTGCATATTTCTATGCCTTTAGCTTTTCCATCTAGAAGAATAATACAAAGCCTCAATGAAAAATGTTGCTTCTTTGAAAAGATAGTTCAAAAATATAAATCTTACATTTATGTGTTATTCACCCCCTCCACCATTCCTGAAATAGTTTCAAAATGTCTAATTTTTCAATTTGCATACATTTGCAAACAATATTTGCTCCATATGCACTCTCCCAAAAAAAAAAAAAAAAAGAAAAGAAGAAGAAAGAAAATAAAACCTTAAAATAAGTATTTATATCTACATTTATTGTCCAGATTTCTTCTTTGTCACAGAGAGGAGTGGATTTCCTCTCAGTTCCTTGAGTGCTCTGAGTTCTTCCCTCAAATTTCTAACCTGGGTGCTGTACCTTTTGACAGGGGCTTTCTCTGTATCCCTGGTCCTACTTAAGGTTGATATTCTGGGCTCTGTGGCAATCAGTGGTGACCTTCTCCATTGGATAGCTTTCTGACCAATCTTCTCAAGGTATGAGTGCAGGGTCTTCTTGGGGGGATAAGATGTTTCTCAGAAATGGTCCCAAGAGAACCTGGTATGTAGCCTCTTCATGCCAGGGTAGAAGAGTAGTAGCCAGCCTCTTCTGGTCACAGGGTAAGCCTGGATCTAGGATTGAGCTTTTTTGGTTGAATACTTTTCTTTGGGATGTCAGCTAGTTTCAGCTCACTACCTAGTTCTCTATGGTGGGTGAATGTGTTCTTATTTTTCCCAGACTGCAACTGGGCCACGGACCTCATACAGTCTGGATCAGCTCAGTTCTCTGCCCCAACCCACCAGGTGGAGGTGAAAATTTCCCTTCATTTATGAGCTCACCAGTTCTGCCCAGGAGAGGTGCAAACGACCCACAAGCTGTCCTGGATTGTATCTTTCCCTCCTGAGCAAATGATGTGGCATGCTTACCTGGATGGATAGTAGCTTCATATGGTGGTCTCTGGGCTGAGCCTAGGTCAGAACAGGCAGGCAGCAGTCAGATGTTCCATGTCCACAAATTTTGATGGGACCAGGAAGTCCCAGGTGGTTGCAGAATTCCTTCTGCAGTTCTCTACATTAAGTTTTTGATCCTCAAAAATAAAAGAAAGGAAAGAAAGAAAGAAAAAGGAATGAAGGAAGGAAGAAAGAAAGAAAGAAAAGAAAGAAAGAAAGAAAGAAGCTAACCAGCAAGATGGCTGGTAGCTTCCAGTCCACAATGGCCAGGCCTGGAGGGCTATTATTTGCTCTAAAAATGATAATTTATAGCTTGCTTATTGTACATTATGTTCCTCCTATGTATTGGCAACATTAAAATTGCCATACTCCATAAATGAAATGTTTTTTCAGCATTTGAAAATCAAGGATGTGAGGCTACATATTAGCAGAATAACAAATAGAGAACCTGTGATAAACTCAATTGATTCAGGAAAAGCATTTGAAAACATTCAATGGACTTCCACAACAAAAACTCTTAATAACCTACCTAGAGAGAGAATGTACCTGAACATGATAAAAGTCTTACACAATAAACATACACTTAGCATAAGGCTCAAGGTTGAGAAGATGAACATATTTCCTCTCAGAACTGAAACAAGACTTAGATGCTCATTATTGACCCTTCTATGCAATATTTTCATGGAAGTCCTAGTCAGAGCATAAGAAAAAAATGAAAATTGACACAATATAAATGCACATAAATTGTAACATGGATAACATAAATTGTAGTGTTTAGAGAGGTAAATGTAGAGACACTTTTGTATGCAATTGAAGGAATTCTTCTATCATTTCAAAATAGATTTTTATATAATAAATTCTTTATGTAGCTCCATAGGAAATACAAATACCTGTTGAAGATACAGTAAAACAGATATAAAACCATCAAAACCATTTTTTTATTATTTTATTATTCATTTGTGCATACAAGGCTTGGGTCATTTCTCCCCCCTGCCCCCACCCCCTCTCTTACCACCCACTCTGCCCCCTCCCTCTCCCCCCTACCCCCTCAATACCCAGCAGAAACTATTTTGCCCTTATTTCTAATTTTGTTGAAGAGAGAGTATAAGCCATAATAGGAAGGAACAAGAATTTTTGCTGATTGAGATAAGGATAGCTATACAGGGAGTTGACTCACATTAATTTCCTGTGCGTGTGTGTTACCTTCTAGGTTAATTCTTTTTGATCTCACCTTTTCTCTATTTCCTGGTCCCCTTCTCCTATTGGCCTCAGTTGCTTTTAAGGTATCTGCTTTAGTTTCTCTGCGTTAAGGGCAACAAATGCTAGCTAATTTTTTAGGTGTCTTACCTATCATATCTCCCTTGTGTGCCCTTGCTTTTCACAAGAGTCTCTTGTGGCCACTTTTCGTTGTGCCACAATAAAATGTGATATTTAAGATATGTGAACTGCATATCAAGATTATTTAATCTCATTTGGATGAGAGCATGTATAAAAATAAATGAGACAAGCAAATTTTATAACCATGAGTTCAGTAACCTTATATTGATTAATCTGAGACTGATATGATGAAACTCTTATTATTTATTAACTTTGAAGTGAAGGGATTACACTTTAAGTTCTTGATCAATTTATCCTTGCTTATAATAGTGAAATCTGAGAAAGAAACAACAAATGTGAGAGAAGCATTACCTTGTACCAAGATGTCTATGAAATGGACTTTAGTTCTTCTGATACCATTGATGTGTTACTTTAGCTCTGGAAGTTGTGGAAAGGTATTGGTGTTGCCCATGGACTACAGTCATTGGATGAATATAAAGTCAATCCTAGATGAACTTGTTCAGAGAGGACATGAAGTGACTGTCCTGAGATCATCAGTTTCCGTTTTTATTGAGCCAAGAAAATCATCTACTATCAAATTTGAGGTTTACCCTACATCTTTGGACAAAAAGAGTTTTGAAGATTATTTCAATGAATTAATAAATGAATGGGTATATAATTTTCCAAAATATTCACTTTGGACATATTACTCACAGTTGAAAAAATTCTTCAGGAATTTTTCTGATATTATGGAAATGCTCTGTAGAGACATAGTTTTGAACAAGAAAATTACAAAAAAGCTTCAAGAGTCAAGGTTTGATGTCATTCTTGCAGATCCCGTTGCTCCCTGTGGTGAGCTGTTGGCTGAACTACTTCAAATCCCATTTGTGTATACTCTCCGTGGCCTTCCTGGCAACACACATGAGAAGTACAGTGGAGGTATCCCATTGCCTCCATCCTATGTGCCTGTTATTTTGTCTGAACTAACTGATCAAATGACATTCATGGATCGGGTAAAAAATATGCTGCATGTGCTATGCTTTGACTTTTGGCTCCAAATATTTGATGATAAGAAGTGGAATCAGTTTTATAGTGAAGTCCTAGGTAAGCTGTGAATTTTTAATTTTTACTGAAGATGAGAGTGAGAACATAAATCAGATGATGAAATGAAAGTATAAAATGATCAATTAATCTCAGATATACTGTGGAAATGCTTACTTATATTGTAAAGATATGTAGAAACCCATGCTCATCACTTGTTTAGAACACTGCAATAAATAATAACCCCGAAAACTGAACCACTGAAAATTACTCAGTGTAATTACGTATGCCTTTATTAAACTTCTTATATGTCTTAAGGAACAGTAATTACAAACCTAAGTAAGTGACTTAATGATTATAGCTGTGTACATTAGGTGCTTATGCTTGATTTATTACCATAACTCCCTATGTGGCATTAAGGAAATTAATTTCCCTTGTGTAGCTCAATTTCCTAGCTTACAAATTAAAACCTTTACAAATAATGTCATAAGAGGTCCTTCATAAATAAACATGTTTCTATCCTAAAAGCAGAAAGCTATAACTTCAGGGTTTTTTTTTTACTTTTTTTATACCAAAGCACAGTAATTAAACATCTTATTGACATTATTCCAGCTCATTTCAGGAAATCACTGCTCGATTATAGACACTATTTCCTCATTACTCTGCCTTTCATATGCTTTTACCAATTCAGGGAAACCCACTACATTATATGAGACAATGGGGAAAGCTGATATATGGCTTATTCGAACCTACTGGGATTTGGAATTCCCTCGTCCTCTCTTACCAAATTTTGTCTTTGTTGGGGGACTCCAATGCAAGCCTGCCAAACCTCTGCCTAAGGTAAACCCATTCCACCTTCTGTGATTGATTTTCTCTGCAGTTTTGTTTGAATTTCCTCATTTATTTGTATTCCTCATTCAGGTTGTCTAAGTGGTACGAGAGATATGAGAATAGGGATGTTGAGGAGACATTAGCAGAGATCACAGAATATATCCTAGAATCCTCGCTTAATTAAGGTGAAATATCAATAATGTTCAAAACCTGGTAAAGGGAGAGGATGAAATGGAAGACACTAAAAAAGTTTAAGTAAATAAATAAATAAAATAAAATGATACAGGCAGAATCATAAGAACTGTTCTCAAGAGCTTCAAATTAACTTTAGCAGGATAAGGATGAATAAAGAGATAGTTGATGATGGAGACATAAGTAGGAATGAGATTATTATTAGGATTTGAAATGCCTATTGATGGTGTTGGAGAGCCAATTAAATGTGCTAAACATGGGAGATATACAGTGAGATTTTCTTTTTAAAGAATATGTCTAAATACAGTCACACTATTTGATTGCAGAGGAATAAGATAATGTAAAGGGGAAATATCTGGGAAATTGTTGTAAGAATAGAACCAATAGATGATGGAAACTAGAGTAGAAGTTTCATAGAGATGGCTTTGCTAACTCATGTGTGAATAGTCCCACTTCATGTGGTGGTGTGTGGAAAAAAAACTGGTTAATTCAGACAAAAGACTTAAAACGTCATTCTCACTTAGTGATTCATAGAAATATTCACTGTTGTAATATTCAGTTTTTGTTTCTATCACATACTATTTTAAGAACGTCTAAATTTTATCATCTAATTAGCCTACCTCCACATTTAAAAGGTAGGGGGAGTATTTAATATGACTGTTTGAAGTGATATTTTTGCAATATGCTACGCAGTCTGTATTCAAATATTTGAATTATGTTCAGCCTTGCAGAAAAGAAAGCCACAATATGGCCGAAAAAAATTATCATCATTTGTGGCATAGCAAGTTCAAGGCTAGTATAGCAACTTTATCTGTAACAAATAATATCAATTTGGGACTAATATCAGAGCAAATTTTGTCATAGGTAAACAAGCCCAGAACTGTGTTCACGGAAATATGGATAGTTCCAATGTAGTAAAAATGTTAATTTAGGTCATGTTTAGTTTTAATATGGACGTGTATAGTTCTGGACATGAATTGAATTTTTATGAGTATTTTATGTATATGCAAGTCTCATTTACAATTTCCTAAATGTCCATTATTTTTAATCTCCAGCTATTAAAGATAATACTGTAGAAAACTTTTGGAAACTCTCAGAAACTATAGGATGAGAAATACATATTCTGGAGATGAGAAAATATAAATTAAAACCAAATTGACCACTTTTCCTAAGCTCACCATGAAGGAATAAAAATACTAATGATTAACAAACTGAAATGATTCCTCATATATCATCCCAGCTGTATATAGACCATTGTAATAATTATAAATAAAACCAATTAAGAATCTTGCTCTGATTCCTAACTCAGAGAAAATACATTAAGAATTAGCACAGCTGTAACTAAGAGTGTGAATAGAAGTGAATGAAGGTCACCTACATAATCATTGTCTAGAAATTCAATTTGCTTTTTTCCTTTCACATACAAATAAATACACACACAAATGTACAGAAATATCAATAAAAGAGGATATTTTATGTCACATTAAAGGTCTTCTTCCAAAGAAAATGAATCATGGCCATTACACCAATGATTCGTAGTAATACTTGATTTTTCTATCCTTAGGTTTAACAATCTTTTCAGAAGTGTTTGCTGTGTTGCTGCTCTTTTATGAGGTATCCATTTCTTTCTTCACAGAAAATAGAAGACTTTGTCCAGAGCTCTGGAGAAAATGGTGTTGTGGTGTTTTCTCTTATGTCGATGGTCAGTAACTTGACAGAAGAAAGGGCCAATGTGATTGCATCAGCCCTGGCACAGATTCCACAAAGGTTAGAAAAAGTGCCTGCTTGGTGGACACTAGCATAATACGTGTGCTAAACTCTGAAAATGATTAGAGTCCAAAGTGTCTGTGTGTCAAAGACAAGTTGTTGGACTGCACACAGCTCAAAAGTTAGAATGAATGCCTAATAAGCACAAGTCCTGAGATTAAACCTCAGTAGTGCAAAAAAAGTAAATTTTTATATCACTAATTCCTCTTATAAATTATAAAACAGAAATATATATGACAGATTATAAAGTACTAAAAAGGATATGTTTATTGAAAGAAATTTGGGCATTACCATTGTGATATATATCTATATATATATCATATATAGATATAGAAAGATTATAGCTAATGGGTACAGTGAAAGGTTGGTATCAGAATGTAATTGCAGGCAGATACACAGCAGTCTCCAAATTCTTCACTATTACTTATTCCTCTTCTATGCAGAATTTCAGAGAACACTGTATGTATTATAGATGTTGTCAGTAAGTAACCAAAGTTTTATTAGTAACTGGCCCAGCAGTAATGTTAAGCAGGTACTGAAAGCAAGTTGAAATTCATCATGAAGTTCTGGTGTCCAATGTAAGCGCAGCTCCATACTCACCATAATCTTAGAATAGCTGATTTTGCTAACTGCTGAGAGTGCTATTCAGAAGAAAGTAGGCCAGAATTCACCAACCATGAGTCAATAGCTGCCTTGCAAAGGATGTTTACAGAAGGATAAAACAGCTTTCCTGGTGAACAGGACCTGGCCAATGTCTAAAACAGAGAGAAATGTTAAAGACATGGTAGAGATTGGACCTGACCATGAAGTGAATCCTTTCATTAAAGTGTATCACACAATAGCTTGGCTTCTAATACATCAGACTGTATCTCTTTCTGCTTGAGGAGGGAGAAGGGAAAGGAAAGAGCCCAGAGGAAGTAAATCTTGTACAGAAAGAAACTCAAAATCCTATCAACTCAACGAAGTGTATCAGTAACTTCTTGTCTAATGTATAGAATAAACTTTAGTACACTTGTGGTATTTGGATGTTTGTAAACTGCTTTTTAATTTCCTGTCTGGTGTAGACTTCTCTCAATCACCTAACAATTTTTTTTCTGCAAACATAACATAACTTTTCTCTTCACATAGAATATGGAAACAATTCTTAAAATTATATTCTTGTTTATAAGTATAGCTTGCCAATTTGAAATTAAATTCCTTAGTTTTGTGGAAGGGATGAAAATGATCTTGATCTATAGGAGGGAGACACTCAAAAACTGCTAATCATAATAAATAATTAACAAGTGAGAACAAGAAAATCCTTCCAATATCACTCAAAAAGGATATAACAAAGTATTATAAAAAATTTTAAATGAGTGATTAAACATACAAGATAAAAATGTAGCCAATTATTCCTAATTAGATATAGTTTGTCACACTAGAATCATATTGACTGCTTTAAATTGTCATGAATTCTTGGATTTGTCACATATCTCTTTTTTCCTAAGTAACTATGTATGAATATCATGAGTATATCACACTCAATTGATTACAAAGATAAATGTAGTAAATATAAATATTCTTTGTCCTTATTATATTAAAATACCATACCTTAATTTACTTATTATATGTCATATGGAAGATGTTCATTTGATATTTTCAATTTTCATAAGTCAATGCTAGTATAATGTGAAATTTCAGTCAAAGAATAAGATATTTTCTGTATCAACAGGTTGTATGGAGATATGATGGCAAGAAACCAGACACCTTGGGATCTAATACTCAGCTATACAAGTGGATTCCCCAGAATGACCTTCTTGGTAAGACTCTGGAAAACTTCAGTGAGAATTTCAGAAACAGCTAGTCAGGAAGTAATAGGAACAAGTTGAGTATTTACTATACAAAACTAAGAGATAAGACTAATTTCTTCATATTTTTCAAGATTAAGGAAATGAAAATAAAGTATAATTATTGTGATTTTTATGTTCACAATCTTATAGGCTATGGCAGAATCAAAGTATTTTTAGTTCAGATGTAATTACATCTATGAGAATTTTTCAGGCACTTCCTGCGTTGTCTCTGTCTCATACTTCTGATGCCTACATTATCATTCCTCTGCTTTAGGAGAATTTGAAATGCCACTGAAAATAACATGCTGTCTTCTCGTACAATGGCCTCTGCATTTTCCATTGAAATAAAGATACAAACTCTATCAAGAGGTGGCAACAACTTTCATAATGATGTGTGACTTGTGTTTTCTCTTACATCTGCACCACCATCCCACTTCTGCTGCCTTGGACGCTGTCATGACAAAAAAAAGTGACTTCAGTATTTCTTTTTTGTGTGTGTGCTCTTCTTGGTTGAGAGACTTTTTATCATTGCTTTAACATCATTGCTTGGTATAGATCTGTTTAAGTGGCTGATATCCTCCTGAGGCAATTTAGGCCCATTATATGAGTCTAGAAATTTATCCATTTCTTCTAGATTTCCCAGTTTATTAGAATATAAATTTTTAAAGTATTCCCATATCTTCCTATGAATTTTATTGGTATTTGTTGCAATAAACTCTTTTTCATCTCTAATTTTATTAATTTGGACCTTTTCCCTCCTTTTTTGGTTAATGTAGATAAGGTCAATCATGCTTATCTTTTCAAAGAATCAAATTTTGTTTTTTTATTATTTATACTTGTTTATTCTCATGTGCATATATTGTTTGGGCCATTTCTCCCTCTTACCCCCATCCCCTCCCTCTATTCCCCATCCCCCTCACTTCCAGGCAGAATCTATTCTTCCTGTATCTCTAATTTAGTTGGAGAGAAAACAAAAACAATAATAAGATAGACAAAGTATTTTTGCTAGTCGAGGTAAGGATAGCTATACAGAGAGATTCTTAGCACTGCTTCCATGTACCAGTGTGTTACACACAAGTTAATTCATCTGTTACTGACCTTTGCACTACTTCCTGATACCCTTCTCATGTTGAACTCTGTCACTTTAAGTTTCCTGTGTTAGTTCCTTGATAGTAGGGACATAAAATACTTTCATGTTTTGGGTTTCTTACCTATCCTCATACTTCCTGTGAGTACTCACAAATTATCATGTGACCCAAGTCCAACTACATTGCTGCACTTGCTCTAGATCTAAAGGGAGAACATATGATTTTTCATCTTCTGATCCTGGCTAACCTCGCTCAGAATGATGTTCTCCAGTTCCATCCATTTACTTGTGAATGATAAGATTTCATTCTTCTTCATGGCTGAGTAAAATTCCATTGTGTATAAATACCACTTTTTTTTAATCCATTCGGCAGTAGTGGGGCACCTTGGCTGTTTCCATAACTTGGTTATTGTGACTAGTGCTGCAATAAACACGAGTGTGCAGGTGCCTTGCAGTAGCCTGTGTTGCATTTCTTTGGGTATATCCCCAAGAGTGTGATTGCTGGATCATGTGGTACATCTATATTTAGATTTTTAAGAAGCCTCCAAATTTTTTTCCATAGTGGTTGCACTCATACCAGCAGTGTATGAGTGTTCCTTTTTCCCCACATCTGCACCAACACCTGCTGCTAGTGTTGTTTTTTGATGATGGCTATTCTAACAGGGGTAAAGTGGAATCTTAGTGTGGTTTTGATTTGCATTTCCTTTATGGCTACAGATGGTGAGCATTTTTTCATGTGTTTTTGGCTATTTGAGTTTCTTCTTTTGAGAAAGTTATGTTTAGTTCAGTTGCCCATTTCTTTATTGGTTCATTGATTTTGGAAGAATTTAATTTTTTGAGTTCCTTATATATTCTGGTTATCAGACCTTTGACTGATGTATAGCTGGCAAATATCTCCTCCCACTTTGTGGGTGGTCTCTTCAGTTTAGAAACCATTTCTTTGGTTGAGCAGAAACTTTTTAGTTTTATGAAGTCCCATTTGTCCATCCTTTCTCTTAGTTGCTGAGCTGTTGGGGTTCTTTTGAGGAAGTCCTTGCCTATACCTATTACTTCCAGGGTGTTTCCTACTCTTTCCTGAATCAGCTTCAGAGTTTTGGTTCTGATATTAAGATCTTTGACCCATTTTGAGTTGATACTAGTAAAGAGTGATAAACATGGATCTAGTTTCAGTTTTTTGCAGATGGATAACCACTTTTCCCAACAACATTTGTTGAACAGGCTGTCTTTTCTCCTTCATACTTTTTAGCACCTTTGTCAAAGATAAGTTAAGCATAGTTGTGTGGGTTCATATCCGGGTCTTCTATTCTGTTCAACTGGTCTTCATGTCTGCTTTTGTGCCAATACCATGCTGTTTCTATTGCTATTGCTTTGTAATATAGTTTGAAGTCTGGTATTGTGATTCCTCCAGCATTGCTTTTTTTGCTGGGTATTGCCTTGGCTATTCATGGTCTCTTGTGTTTCCAAATGAACTTTAGCATAGAGTTTTCAATCTCTGTGATGAATGTCATTGGGATTTTGATGGGAATTGCTTTAAATATGTAGATTGCTTTTGGTAGCATAGCCATTTTAACTATGTTGATTCTACTAATCCATGAGAACGGGAGATCTCTCCACGTTATGTAGTCTTCCTTGATCTCTTTCTTCAGAGGTTTGTAATTCTCTTTGTAGAAGTCATTCACATTCTTTGTTAAGTTTACTCCTAGGTACTTGATTTTTTTTGAGGCTATTGCAAATGGAATTGTTTCCATATATTCTTTCTTAGTTTGTTTGTTATTGGTGTATAGAAAAGCTAAAAATTTTTGTAAGCTGATTTTGTATCCTGCCACCTTGCTCTAGTGTTAATGGTATCTAGGAGTTTTTGGGTAAAGTTTTCTGGGTCTTTAAGATATAGGATCATATTGTCTGCAAACAGGGATACTTTTACAGTTTCTTTACCTATTTGTATTCCTTTTATTTCTTATTCTTGCCATATTGCTCTGGCTTGGAATTCCAGGACTATATTGAATAGGAGTAAGGATAGTGGGCACCCTTGTCTTGGTCATGATTTTAGGTGCAGTGGTTTTGTTTTTCACCATTAAGTATTATGTTGGCTGTAGGTTTTTCATATACAGCCTTTATAATCTTGAGGTACTTTCCTCCTATTCCTGGCCTTCTCAGAGCTTTTATCATGAAGTGGTATTGGATCTTGTTGAGGGCTTTTTCTGCATCTATTGAAATGATCAAGTGTTTTTTGTCTTTACTTCTAATGATGTGCTGCATTATATTTAGAGATTTATGTGTGTTGAACCACCCCTGCATCCCTGGGATGAAGCCAACTTGGTCATGGTGAATGATTTTTCTGATGTGTTGCTGGATTCAGCTTGCTAGTATTTTATTGAGGATTTTGCATCAATGTTCATTAAGGATATTGGCCTATAGTTCTCCTTTTTGGAAGTGTCTAAAAATATGGAATGCTTCACCAATTTGCATATTATCCTTGTTCAGGGGCCATGCTAAGCTTCTCTGTATCATTCCAATTTTAGTATATGTGCTGCCAAAGCAATCACTTCAGTATTTCTTTAGGAAAAAGTACTCCAAAATGTGCACAAAGAGTTTTTAAAATTGGCACATGCTGCAAGCTTACAAATGCTGTTTTCATTTGTTTTCTCCTCTGATAATATTGTTTTCATTTTTCACTGTCAAGTCACATACAATCTCTTCTAAATAGCATTCACTGAATTTTCCAGTAGACTTAGGTACTTCTTGTACTAAATTATAAAACAATTTTAATGCAGTATCATGACTGTAATAACCTATTATCTAGAGGACACTGCCTGTTAAACCTTTCAAAGATTTATACTTTATGTTTCTCATTTCATTTCTAAAACATATATTAACAATTTTGTGGCAATTCACCCAATTGCAGGTCATCCAAAAACCAAAGCCTTCATAACTCATGGTGGAGCTAATGGTGTCTATGAGGCAATTCATCATGGGATCCCTATGGTGGGCATTCCTTTGTTTGGGGATCAACCTGACAATATTGTTCGTATGAAGGCCAAGGGAGCAGCTGTTAGACTGGACTTTACCACAATGTCAACTACAGACCTTCTCAATGCGTTGGAGACAGTCATCAATGATCCTTTGTGAGTATAACTGCATTCCCTTTTTAAGTAGTATTTATAGAAAGTTGTTCATCATTAGTGATTATGAGTTTCTTCCCTTTTGAAGGAGACTTATAAGAATTTAAATTATTAAATCTATTTGTGCTCATTTTATTACTTTATTTTCAATAAGAAATTTATCTTAAAATTTTATTAGATATTACAGATTAAATAGCTAATCACATACTGCAGTTATTTCAAGACAATAATTTTGGATATACTTAAGTATTTATAATAAGGATAACACTTTTAAATACGATTTAGTCTACATAAGAAGTTTGATGAGCTTGAAGGTTAATAACAAAAGGTTTTCATTGTTTAAAATTTCTAAATGTTAATCTCAAAAATTCATTTTATTGTTATTATTATTATTATTTTGGATCTCATTAACAATATATAACAAAATTTACCAGATTAAGTTAGAAAAGTCAAATGCATATATATTCTTATATATTATATTTTGAAGCCCTGAAACTGTTACATAATATATTAAAGATGTTTATAATAACAATAAAAATGTGACATGACATTACAATCATTTCCCATGTATAGAATTGTTGTGCAAATTCTGACAAATAAAAAAACATTTGACAATTGACATTTAAGTGAATGTCTGAATGAGAGAAGAAAAGATTTATAGTATATCAAGAAAATGTACAAGTAAAGGAAAAGAGAGTATAAAAGGTGTTATAAAGATGACAAATGAACACTATTGGAGAATTCAATTTACTGCCACAGCAAAATGCAATTATCAAATGTGTAGTGATATTTAAAATGTTGCCAGTTCTGACCATTCAGAGTCATTGAGTCCAAGAACAGAATATGGCCTGTTTTCAATTGTGATGAGAAGTAGATGGATATTTTAAGGAAGCTATTATCATAATTTGTCTGGTTCACTTAAACACTCATTTGGGCTACTAGGTAGAAATTAAAAAAAAAAATAGAGGGCAGAAAAGAATAGTGGAAACCATGATATGGCAAGGCATCATTTCACCCACCATCACACAACTCCTCTTTAAAAGCCTCAGGACAATCATCCTCAAATTACTTCTCTTCTGTTTCTCTCCTTAGACTTAGAATCACTTCCATTTTTTCTGATGGAAAATATTAATCTTTCCCTCTTGATTTTCTATTTGGAAAATGTTTGTCAATCAGAATATCCTAATTAAGAACAAAGCATTGTATACAAAGAAAAGTAAAAAAAAAAGCACTTGCATAGCACCTCTATAACATTTATACTGAATCATTAATTTGTAAGACACATTTCTGAAATTGTCAATGACTTAATATCCTTAGGCAAACTAAATTTCCCTTTAATGTTGGTATCTTTCCGACTCTCCCTCAGATGTAAAGAGAATGCTATGAGGTTATCAAAAATTCACCATGATCAGCCACTGAAGCCTCTGGAGCAAGCTGTCTTCTGGATCGAGTTTGTCATGCGCCACAAAGGAGCCAAGCATCTTCGCCCAGCTGTCCATGACCTCACCTGGTTCCAGTACCACTCTCTGGATGTGATTGGTTTCCTGCTGGCTTGTGTGGGAACTGTTATATTCATCACCACAAGATGTCTTATTTGTTGCCAGAAGTATACTAAAACTGGAAAAAAGAAGAAAAGAGACTAGTACTTTCTAAGCTTGTAGTGGGGATTCCTGTAAGAAGAAGTTGTCATGTGACATTCCTTACTACTCTGACAAGAATCTTTACAACTTATTTTCAAGTCAATGAATTGTTTTCAAGGGATATGCTACCTGTTTAAGACATAAAATAGTTCAAGACACAGGAGAAACTTCTGGGGAAAGGATGAATAAGCTATATGTGTATGCTTTGAAATGTGTGTTTGAATATCATAAATTTATTCCTCACAAAATTGACTCTGCTTACTTAAGGTTCACTACTTTTGTATGGACACAAGACTATTGAAAACTGTTCTCAGTTTTGTAGGTTTTGAAAATACTCTGCCTGTTCCAACTTTTTGGTATAGAATTTTGTAGTTTCACCATTTCTGAAGAAGTATTCAACAGTTAGAGTTGTACATCAATGTTCATTTTTCTACTTTTATTTGGCAGAACAATAATGTTCTTCTGTTCACTAGACCTGCAGCTTCAGCATCACTTCTTTCCTAAAAAAATAAAGAAAAACTCATCAAATAATCAGATATTTATCCATGCAAGGCCTTTTTTTTTCTTTTCTCATACTTTGTTTTTATCATTGTTGTACTATGGGTACATTGTGACATTTTAAAAAGTTCTTACAATATATCATAGTTAAATTCACCCCCCATTCTCCTTTATCCAACCCCCACATTCCTGGAATAGTTTCAACATGCATTATTATTCCATTTCCCTACATGTGTACACAATATTAACACCGTATTCATTCTCTGACCCCTTTCCTTATTTCCACACCTGTCCAGACAGAACCTGTTGCCTTCTTGTTCTCTATTTTTATAAAAAAAAAAGATATATAGTATTTTTCTTTGATTAAGATAGTTTTACATGGTGTTTCATTGGGACATTTCATTTATCTATGTATTATAACCTGAATTGGTTCATCCCTCCACATTTTTCCTTTCTCTTTTAATCCACTTCTTATGGTGATTTCAACAGGTTTAAAAATTCTATATTCATTCTTGTGTAAGAATTACATTAACTGTATTCACCTCAAGAAAAGCTATTTCTATAGAATTAAAAATATATTTATAACCGACTGCTTTCTACTATAAAATTACACTTGAAATCTCTGGTTTGATTAACGCACTGTTTCTCCTTTTAACTCTTCAATGACCTGAATCATCTCAATCTCATTGCAGCTAGGAGGGTAGAAATAAAGTCTCAATTGTTCAATTTTTATCCCATCAAGTGTACATGTGCACTTATGCTCAGTTTTCAAATAAAAACCAGCACCACTAGCCCTATACAGGTAAGGTGTAAAGTAAGATTGAGAAGTGTTTAAATTTTGGTTATTGTTACATATATTCTATTTTACAAATTCAAGTCTAATTATTTGTTTCCATAGTAATCTGTTGTCTTAACTTTTTCTTAAACCATCAGGGACAATTTAAATCATTCTTCATATCTGAAAATAACATAGTCATCATTTTCTTTGAAGCATATTTAATGACTGACCATAATTGGTATCAATGCAATATATTAAACAATATACATAAATTATATGGAAAAAGGTAAATCAAATAACAAATACAGTAAAGCCCCTTTAAATGTATACTTCCAGGAAGTAATTCATAATTAACATAGTCCAAACTGATAAATATCTAGTTGTCTGTATCGGTATGAAGTCATCATTCAAGTTTCACAGGAAACATTCTCCATTTAAAGGCATGAATTCATTTCAAAATAAATCAAAACTTAATTTACTAAGCTTAATTATAGTAAAGTACAACAAAGAATACTTTATGCAATTTATATAATAGTTGACATATTTTTATTGTAGTGCAGGGTAGGAGTACATTTTTGCATTTAAAAAGATCTTACAATGATTTAAAAATATCATGCGTGAACTCACCCCCTCCATTGATCTCCTGCATCCCCCTCCCCTGATTCCTGAAAAAATTTCAACAGGTATCATTTTTGCATTTACATACATATGTGTACATTATTTGTATCATGTTCATCCTCCTACCCCTTACCCAGCCATCTCCATCTTCCCACAGGTGCCACCCTCCCCCTCTCAGGCACAACCTGTTCTGCCCTCCTGTTCTCTGATTTTGTAGAAGAAAAAAACACAAAAGATAAAAAGAGAATCATGACATTTTGCTAGTTTGAGACATAGATAGCTACACAGGGTGTTTCCATGTGATATTTCCATGTATATATGTATTACAACCCCAATTGTTTCATTTCTTCTAGTGTTCTTCACTCCTCCCTACTCCTCTTCCCATGGTGGCTCCAGCCAGTTTAAGATTTCTGTATTCATTCCCGTAGCATGAGCACATGGACCATATTCAAGTTGCTGCTTTCCATTCCTTCCCTATCCCTCCTGTATGCAACCTTCCCTGAGTGTGACCTATGTCCCATAATATTGCTGCATTTGTTTTAGTTGTTTAATATGCATATGAAGGAAAACATGCAGGTTTTGGTCTTCTAACTTCACTAAAATCACTTATGATGATGTTCTCCAGTTCCATCCATTTATCTGTGAATGACAAAATTTCATTCTTCTTTGTGGCTTAGTAATATTCCATTGTGTATAAATACCATATTTTCTTAATCACTAGGGAGGCATATTGGCTGTCTGCATAGCTTAGCTGTTTTGAAAAATGCTGCAATAAACATGGGTGTGTAGGTGCCTTTGTTGTATCTTGACTCACATTGATTTTGGTACATTCATAGGATTGGTATTGCTGGATCATATGGCAGATCTATTTTTAATTTTTAAGGAGCTTCCAAAAAGTTTTCTATAGTGGGTGTAATAGCATACATTCCTACTAGCAGTGTATGAGGTTTCATTTTTGCCCCCATCCTGGACAACAATTGTTAATGTTGGTATTCTTGATGGTAGCTATTCTAACTGGAATGAGGATGAAATTTAGTGTGGTTTTGATTTGCATTTCCTTTATGGCCAGGAATGGTGAGCATTCTTCAAGCTTTTTTTTTTTAAGGCATTTTGACTTTTTCCTTTGAAAAAGTTCAGTTCAGCTCATTTGCCCATTTCTTTATTGGGTCATTGATTTTGAGGGGGGGGAGACTTTAGTTTTTTGAGCTGCCTATATATTCTGGCTATCAATCCCTCATCTGTTGTGTAGCTAGTAAAGATTTTCTCCCATTCTGTAAATGGCCTCTTCAATTTAGAGACCATTTCTTTTGTTGTGCAGAAGTTTTTAAATTTCTTGTAGCCCCATTTGTCGATCTTTTCTTTTTGTTGCTGAGCTGCTTAATTTCTACTGAGGGAGTCCTTGCCTTTCCTATTACTTCCAGTATATTCCCTGTTCATTACTAGCTTCAGGATTTCAGATCTCATATTTAGGTGCTTAAGCCACTCTGAGTTGATATTTATACAGGGTGAAAAACATGGATCTAATTCCAGTTTTCTGCAGGAAGATATCCAGTCTTCCAAGCAACATTTGTTTTGGCGACTTTGTTAAAAAATTATGTGAGTGTAGTTATGTGAATTCATATTCACATCCTCTGTTTTATTGCACTGGCCTTCATATCTGTTTTTGTGCCAGCACCATGCTGTTTTTAGTGCTATGGCTCTGTAGTATAGTTTGAATTTGAGTATTGAGATACCTCCAGCATTCCTTGTTTTGGTCAGTATTGTCTTGGCTATTTGTCGTCTTTTGTGTTTCGAAATGTACTTTAGGGTTGAATCTGTGATGAATGTCATCAGGTTTTTGATGGGAATTGTGCTGAACATGTAGATAGTTTTTGGTAGTATAGCCATTTTTACTATATGGATTCTGTCAATCCATGAGCATTGGGAGGTCTTTCCACCTTCTGCAGTATTCTTTGATTTCTTTCTTCAGTGGCTTGTACTTCTCCTTGTAGAGGTCGTTTACATTCTTCATTAAGTTCATTCCTAGGTATTTGATTTTTTTTTTTAAGGCTAGTGTAAATGAAATTGTTTTCCTATATTCTTTCTTAATCTGTTCATTGTTGATGTATAGAATAGGTACTGAGTTTTGTAAGTTGAATTTGTATCCAGCTATGTATTTTGGAGGAGTTTGTCAGATCCTTTAGGTATAAGATCATGTTCTGTGATTAGGGATAGTTTAACTTCTTCTTTACCTGTTTGTATTCCTTTTATTTGCCTTATTGCTCTGGTTAGGGAATCCAAGACTATGTTGAATGGGAGTGCAGAGAGTGGTCACACTTGTCTCATTCCTGACATTAGAGGCAATGGTTTCAGTTTTTCCACATTAAGTATATTGTTGTCTATAGGTTTGTCATATACAATCTTTATCATGTTGAGGTACATTTCATTATGACATGGTATTAAATTTAATCAAAGCCTTTTCTGCAGCTATTAAGAGGATCAAGTGGTTTTTTTTTAACTTCCTTTAATATGCTATATTACATTTAAAGATTTGTGGATGTTGAACAATCCTCGCATCCCTGGGATGAACCCAATTTGGTTATGGTTTATGATCCTTCCAATATGTTGTTGGATTCAGTTTGCCATTATTTCATTAAGGATTTTTATATCTATGATCATTAAGGAGATTGGCCTATAATTCTCCTTTTTGGTTTTGCCTTTGTCAAGTTTTAGATGAGTGTAATACTGGCTTCATAAAATGAGTTAGGCAGTGTTCCTTCCCTTTCTATTTCATGGAAAAGTTTCAGATGTGTTGGTATTAGTTCTTCTTAAATGGTCTGGCACACCAAACTCAGCAGAGAATCCATCAGGTCCTAGACTTTTCTTTTTTTCAGAGATTCTTTATTGCTGCTTCAATTTCATTGCATGTTATAGATCTGTTTAGGTGATTAATATCCTCTTGATTTAGTTTTGAATGGTCATACATATCTAAAAATTAGTCCATTTTCCCTAAAATTTTCCATTTTTTGAGTGTAGATTTTCAAAGTAGTCCCTGATTATTCCTTGGATTTCTTTAGTGTTTATTGTTATCTTCCCTTTTTTGTTTCTGATTTCACTAATTTGGGTCTTG